ATATAATTTGGAGCGAATTTTATCTGTCAAAACGCTTGGTAACCCACTTAATTTGGCATGCCAATCTAGATATTCGGAGGTTAATACTTTATCGGACTTGGTCATATTGTCTTTTTATATGATTGCAAATCAATTTAAATCCCTTTTTTCTCATAGACCTATTTGTTCGAAAAAAAAGATTAAAATTCCCAGATAGATTATCACCCTAAAGAGCTACCCAGACTATTGTAAAGTAATGAGACTATGCAACTATCTCAATTTCGCGCTGTTCACACTTAATAAAATAGGATCCAGTTTTATATCTACCTTCTATGCTTTCCTCATCATCATGATCTAACTTGCATAATGGGCAGGGACCGCATAATGTCTTATCAGTAATGCCATAATAATCGAATTCTTCACTACTATATTCTCTATATAAGTTGGGATATTGATCCAATGTCTTGTTACGAAAGTAGGATCGATCATAAGTTGGTTTAGTCCTAGGAATTGATACGGGTGATACACTTGCTTGAGGTGTGGCTGGTGAAAAGTCATGACTTTGATCGTTACCAATGGTAACGGTTTTTGAGGTCACATGACTCTGATTGTTGGTTTTATCGTTCACATAATCTATAATATTTTGAATTTGGGTATTGGTTAATCTAGAAATATCACTCGCGCTACAAGTAACTAACTTAATTCTATCTATCCCAACCCCTTTTTCTCCAAATAGCATAAGAATATTTTTAGCTCTGTGTGTTCGGATTCGCAGATTACCCAGAGTGACATTAGGTAAATACTGCAACATATCTTTGTATATCATCGATCTTGCTGTCTTATCTTTAGTCTTGCCATCAGCCGTAATATTTTTTACTTTTTCTTCGAACTCAAAGGAATAATGATACAGACATAAGATTTCTTTTAGACCCACTCTTATAGCCTCATCAATCCAATAAGCTAATCTCTGCGTAGAACCCTCAATTGCATTGTTTAAGATGGACTCATCATGTAGTTTAACTGATGCCACTGAAGAAATAGGCCTAGAAAGTTCATGCTTCAAAGTTTGTTCAGTGACTTGATTTCTATCAAGCGGTTGTGTAGCAATCGGCCCAGACATTTCATCAGATGGGGCATCCTCGCTATCGGTACAAGTGATCATTTTTGTGTCGCATGATAAGTTATCCTCAATGGATGATGAAGCAAAGATATCATCGCCTGTGTTAAGTGATAATTTCAAATCTTGATCGTTACCATTGGTAACGGTTTTTTTGTCACGTGATAATTTCGAATCTACAGAAGTAACAGCCAGGACTTGATTTTTAGCTGACTCATGTAGAAGTTTCTTCTCTTTATTGCATCGCTTTATTTCACTACTAACGATTTTCTTATGAGCCTCAAGCAAGAAACTATCCATATCTTTCTCTTCCAACGGTTTG